CACACTGTCCCACAGCCTAAACCAAGACAGGATCTGTTCTTACCATCCCATGTTTTCAATCACTGCCAGTTCTAACAGCACAGACACCCCCCATCCTCTGCAGAGGGAACTGAATCAGCACTCTTTTTGGCCAGGTATCTGAGTATAAATTTATTCACTGTCAATCAGAACTGAGTGAGAGCTATTCACCTTGAGCCCCTGAAGAGGCTCCCAGCGCCTGAGCTACCCCCAGGCCCCGCTCTTTGATTTGAACCCAGCAGATGCAGTTTTAATTTCAAACTTTTTAGACCATTCTGCAGGTGGAAAAACTTCTTCAAACTGAGCAGTTCCCTGCATCAGTTGCTGCCATCCTCACAGAACCACTCACTGAGCTTCAGAGAAACAACCTGGGTTTTGAAATCGTCTGAAGTGCAAGAACGCTGGAAATAAGGGATCTAGACCGGAAGCAAACCTAGCAACTAATCAAAGCTCTTTTATGAAGAGTTAGTGAAAATAAATTACTTCATCATCTCAGAAGACAAGGTCATTTCAGTATCTTCAAGAATTCAACTTATTCTCAACTATGTATCCACAGAAACATGTTTCAATGTCTGACTGATGCTTTCCACCCTCCCACTGGCCACTCACTCGGTTCAGTGCCTCAGCACTGGCAAAACAAGGAGACAGAAACAAGGGAACACACCAGCAACACTGAGCCTTCCAACTGGCTGCATCAGCCTTTAACAATCGATAGGATTATCAGGGCTTTCCACAGTGATCCTGACTGCAGGATGGGTAAACTGCTCTCCTTTGGTTTTGGCCACGGCCTCTGAAGGGTGAGGATCCTGCAGTGCAAGGTAGGAACCATTCTTCTATCACGCAATAGAAGGGGAAAGCAAACAAACTTGACACGAAACTGGAAGCACCTGACCCTGGTTTGCTCAGTGTTGTTGCTAGAGGGAGCTACTGATCTTCATCTTCCTCTTCCCAGTACTCCTCGTCAGGATGCATGGCTTGAAACAACCTGCACGGCAGGCAACAACTCACATCAGGGTGTAAAAAAGGTGAAATACCTACCAAAAAACACCAACCTAAATGGGACAAAAGCTACAAAAGCTGCAAGTTTCAGTATCTTCAGTATCACAAACCAGTGGTGCTGCAGTGCCCCAGGTCGATCAACATGACCTGAACACAGCTGCTCGGCACCGCTGCAGCTCGGCACCGCTGCAGCTCGGCACCGCTGCAGCTCGGCACGCCAGAAGGCAGGGGGAGGCGAGGTGAACACGTACCTGTTGAAGCAGGGGGAGGATGGATCATTGAAGTGCCTGTAGGGGTTCACCCTTGACAGAGAGCCCATGCAGAGCCAGCAGAAGTACTGCATGCAGCCCGTGCACGTCATCTTGTTACACCCATCGAGTTTCTGAGGGGAAGGAAACAAGAAATGGCACGAAGCAAGTCTCACTGTGCCAGCCTGGCTCTGCCTGCTAACAGTCCCTAAAGCCCCTCAGCTAAGGAAAACACTGTACCCCGGCTCCGTCGTACCCCTGACACTTCTCCCTGTTCCAAGGCTCTAGGAGCTAGGATCACAAATGGCACATTGGCTCTAATAATAATCATCATGCTGGAAATGAGTATTTTTCTGAAGCTGTTTGTATTTCCTGGCTGTTGCTGAAACAGCAGTAGCCTGAAACACATGGAAAACAAAAGGATTCTTACAGATCCACAGACAACCTGGATCTTTTTAGTCCTGGAGTCTGAACAATCCCAGTTGCTGTATTTACTCAAGTCCCTGAGCCCGGAAACGTCACCTCCTTTTCCATACAACACAGAAAGGGAAAATTCTCTCACCATTTCCTGGCAGTTGACCCTCCCTGGTGAACCTGGAGCCTACAAACACATCTCTGTTCCAGCCGAAGCACAGAAGTGACTTAATCTGGGTTCCTGTGAAGAGTTCCTACGACCCCTCCACCTCTCCCCTCCGTGCTTACCTCTATGTGAGTACCGCAGCAGGGACAAGCCTTCGAGTTCTTTTCTAGCCATTCTTTACTCTCTATCTCCTCAAGAGCTTTCTGAATCACCCGTTTGCCATAGCGTTGTTCCAAAAACCTTTTAGTTGCTTCATCTGCTTCTAAATATTCATTTCGCAAAGCCATTAATTTCTCTGGGGAGTAAAAAATACCACAAAACACAAAAGAAATAGAAAAGGGTTTGTCAGATGTTACATAAAGGCGGCCAGCTGATAAGAGCATAAAGTATCCTCAAAGGAAACCACCATCACAGATTAAAAAGCAAGGAAAACATTAGCATACGTAAGAAAGAAGATGAGAATATTAAACCCCCTCTAAGCCCAGAATTCAAGTTTTACACCATTCTACTTCATACAGATGTATTGACACCATTATAAAATAGACCAGTCAATGGAATTAGAACAAGTCCACCCTGTCAAATAAGCTGGAAAATGGAAATGTTTTTTCTGAACAGACACTTCATGAAACTTTGTCACAGGATTTTGAGGCCAAACAGAGAAGCATCCACCAGACTCCAGTATCAACCCTGGCAACGGGAGGTGATGGACTCACAGCAGAGGGCAGAAAAAGGCACATATGAAATGACTCTTGCCCTGCTGCGGCCTCTCAGCGTTTGGCAATTGGCAGTTCAGGGACCTCCTGAGCTGTGGAGGGCCATCAAAGGAGTAATTTTCCAGTGCCAGCAGCAGGCCAGCTCCAGACGAGTCTGCTCCATGGGGAAGCTCACGTGGTGAGGAGCGTCTCTGCTTAACTGCCCACTTTCAACCTTTTTCACACAAAACTCCATTGCTTCTCACTCCATGTCCGAAACACAGAGACTCACCTGCAGTGACTTTACAGGGGGAGACCCCATGGTAGGTCATTTTGCAGAGGGTGCAAAAGGCATAGTTGCACTGGGAGCATATGGCCATGGTGCAGCCCGGCTCCTGCATGACGGGGGTCTGGCAGCACGGGCGAGGGCAGTACACCACGTCTGCCATCAGGTCCAAGCTCGACTGCAGGAGCAGGCGGTCGTAGCGCGCAAAGAGCTGCTCTCCAACCAGCTCCTTCACCTGAACAAAGACCACACACAGGTCAGATGCACTGGAAATGCTGAGCCTGCCACCTGCAGCCACAGCGAGGCAATGAGAAATACCTACAGCTGGGGTGAATCTGCTCTGTACTCCCCAATAGCTCATGAAATTACTCCTAGAAATGCTATTTTAGTGGTTAATTAATGAAAGGAAAAGCATGCAGCATCAAAAGCAACGGGACATACATTCAGGCCTCTGATCAACACCAGGGTGAACAGGGTAGGCAAAATACGTGTGAAGTGTTGCAGTTTTAGCTCAGATGCCTCTGCATGGTTCAGAGTATGACAAAGACATTTCCCCAGGTGTGTTCACAGTGCTCAGGTAAAGCTACACCTTGTCCTCTGTAATGATGGGTAAGTGAGCAGAACTCTACCACCACTGCTCACACGCTGCTGTTACCTGGCCCGGTGTGGCTACAGAGGAACACTTGGGTTCTGGGCAGTTGAGGCAGTGGACCTGCCCGTCCCTGATCTGGATTTCAAAGTAGTCCTTGAGGCACGCTTTGCAGTAGACGTGGCTGCACTCCGTGAAGTGCATGCACTCACTGCCCAGCTTCTCGCAGAAGCAGATATTGCACAAGTACATCTTGCTGTTAAAGCACTTCCTCCTCTGCGCCTGGTCAAAGTCCAAGATCTCCCTAATCAGACTCGACAGTGATTCCACATCCTGCACGGCTCTCGCATCCATGACTTCTTCCTCCGCCGCAGCAGAGCCCGCTGCACCGCCACAGTCCTCAGCACTGAGGGGGACCAAAGGTGTCCTGCTCTGCCCGCTCCCCTGGGGGCACATTTTCAGCTCATATGGGGAGGAAATATTGAGGTAACTCAGTGTTTCTTCCTTCAGAAACTGCATCCAGGCAAACAAGACCACACAGCCTCGATTCTCCTCCCAGACGTTGTCCAAGTGTTTGCAAAGGGCACTGAGCTAGGAAAGGAAAAGCAATTCCAGATTTCAGTAAGTTCTGACAGCCCGTTACTGCTTCCCCCCCTCCCGTGCTCCTCCTTAGCCCATCCTGCCACCTCAGACTCGAGTCTTTAATATATACATGAAATACATAGAAAAGCAACACTCACAGATGCAAGATTTCATTCCTCAGAATGGCCACCAAATAAAAACAAGTAGGAAACAAGGGAAGAACTAACTGAAAGAGGAACGTCATTGTTTGTAGACCTGGTATTTTAAGGTCTTATACAATTTTAAGACCTTAGAGCAGCGCCAGTGCCTAAAGGGGCTACAAGAGACCTGGAGAGGGGCTTTGGACAAGGGCCTGTAGGGACAGGACAAGGGGAATGGCTTGAACCTGCCAGAGGGGAGACTGAGATGAGCTCTGAGGCAGAAGCTCTTCCCTGTGAGGGTGCTGAGGCGCTGGCACAGGGTGCCCAGAGAAGCTGTGGCTGCCCCATCCCTGGCAGTGTTCAAGGCCAGGTTGGACACAGGGGCTTGGAGCAACCTGCTCTAGTGGAAGGTGTCCCTGCCCACGGCAGGGGTTGGAGCTGGAGGAGCTTTAAGGTCCCTTCAACCCAAACCACTCCATGGTTCTACGATTGTTATGTCTTAACTTTACTTTCCCTGCCCCATTAACCCCCCCCAGAGCACTGTTAACTATGAACTTATCCGTGACCACAACAGCCCTGTTAAAACATTCAAACTGCCAAACCTGGGCCTGGGAGAGCCATTTCCCGCTGAGGGTGAAGGCGGGTGGGGAGGTGGAGGGGTAGTCTGGAGGCAGCTCGAAGTTCAGCACGAGGGGCGGCAAGAAGCAGACGCTGTACTCGAAGCCGCCCGTCCGGAGGCTGCCGGCGGAGCTCCCTGCACCGCACACGAGCGGCACGGAGGAATAAGGAGAAGTGAGAAGTGATGAGCCGTGGCTGGGATGGCAGCACCCCCGGGGCCTCTCATCCCACACATCTCCAGGGTTAAAATTAACTGATCAGCACTAATTAGCGGAATTTCACGGGGCTGTATCTATGCAATGAGATCAGCGAACAGCAGAGCGGTGAAATCCAGGATCCTGCACAAACCGAGGACCTGGACAGACATATCCTCAAGGAAAAGGACTAATGAATGAACTTAATTATTCCAAAGAAATCCTAGTCCTCATCTCTGCTTTTAAAGGCCACTAAGGAGGTTGTATGTAGGAGGGTGAAACCCCTACTCCAATACAAGC